TTTTTTGGGCCGAGCCCGTGGCGCACTCGGGAGGGTGCGGCACTGGGAGCGCAGCAGCGCTCCCACCACAGGTTCAGATCCTATATAGGGATGACCGTTCAGATCCTATATAGGGATGACCAGTGAGCTCACTGGCTGAGCGGGGTGCGGCCGGTCTCAAAAAGGACAAAAAAAAAAAAAGAAAGAGTTTTTTCTTAGGAAATAGTAACCAAGTGCCACAGGAAACTCACAGCATTCATTTTTAACAAGAGGAGTATCATTTGAGGATTGGCCAACATTCTTCAGGCTTAGCATACTGATCTTTCAAAAAGCTTTGTATGGATTGAACAGTTGAGGAAACAGATGATCACAGACGTCAAATGGCTCGTCTGGCAGGGCCAGAGCAAACTCCAGACCACAGAAGCTACTCTTCCTTCCTCTGCTTGATTTTGGTACCCCAGAATTTTAGGACTTATTTTATAAACCCTGAAAACATCAGACCAGCTAAGTTCTAGATTATTATTTATTACACATAGCTTAACTTTTCCTCTACATGTTTAATTTTAATAATATATTTGCATAAGAAACTAAATGTAATTTTTAATCCAGCAACTTTGGAAAACCACACACAGTCAGCCTTTCATATTTATTATGGGTTCCTCATCCATAGATTCAAGCAACTGTGGATCAAAAATATTCAAAAAATAATAATATAAATACAAAAAAATACAGTGTGACAACTATTTACATAGCACTTACACTGTATTAGGTGTTATAAGTAATCTAGAGGTGACTTAAAGTATATAGGAGGATATGTGTAAGGTTATATGCAAATACTGTGCCATTTTAGATAATGGACTTGAGAATCCATGGTCTTTGCTATCCTCAGAAGTCCAGCAACCAGTCCCCTACGCATACTGAGGGGCAACTGTACTTACCCTGAGTTACTGTGAGATTACTGAGAAAAGTCATAATGGGATTCCCTGATGACCAAGTCTCCTCAAGGCTTTTGACCAACCTAAAATAGCAGAAAGTTAAGGCTAAATTAGGCAAGCACCAGAAACAACGTGGAGTGAATAACACTGCCTCAGATCCCAGGAGATGAGCTAAACAACAATATCACATTTCCATAAAATTCCTCCAGTAATTAAATACGTCTCCTGATACCATCTGTATGTGAATA